CAGATTTCTGGCTGCAAGTCCCAAGTTGAGCTCCCTGTCCTCCTGTAGGGTTGAACTCTGCAGAGTTGTATTGCAGGTTCCAGCTGCCCTTCCCCTGAAGAAAGTCCCGGTCCTGATGGGAGGTGAAGATGACTCCAACTTACCCAGTACAGTGGTCTGGTGTCCTCTGCATCTTTGTAGTGTGGAACCAGGTGGCTGTACAGAGGAGCGGGGGATGGGGGAGGGGGGTGTCCAATGGATTGCTGTCAGGGCGACCTTGGTACGGCATCCACAGACCTGCCTGTCTGTAGCGGGCTAATTCGGTGTGTTCTGCACAACTTGCGACCTTGGTAAGGCATCTGCAGACCTGCCTGTCTGCAGCATGCTGATTTGGCATGTTCCCTGTGACTCATGACCTTGGTACAGCGTCCAGCTATTAATTTTTGAGTGTTGACTTTGTATCCACCTACTCTACTGAATTTAGTTAGATTTATTCCTAGGTATTTCATTTTTTGGATGCTTGTGAGTTTGTTTTTTCATTTCCTCTCTCAGTGGGTTTCTTGTTTGTTTACAGGAAGGTTATTGAGTTTTGAGTGATGACCTTGTATCCAACTACTCTACTGAATTTGGTTATTAGGTCTAGAAAACTTTTGGTGGAGTTTTTGTGGTCTTGTATATAGAGTACCATGCCACCTGCAAATAATGACAATTTAACTTCATTTCTTATCTTCATTTCTTTTACTTCTTTCTCTTCTCTAATTGCTGTGACTAATGTTTCCGGATCTATATTGAACAGAAAGGGTGATAGTGGGCATCCTTGTCTTGTTCCTAATTTTAGTGTGAAGGATTTCAGTGTTTCACTATTTAGTATAATGTTGGCTGTTGGTTTTTCATAGATGTCTTTTATCACATTGAGATAAAGACCATCTACTCCAATTTTCTATAGGTTTTTTTTTAATCACGAATGGGTATTTGATATGGTCACGTTTTATCTCCATCTATTGAGCTGATCACATGGTTTTTGTCCTTGACTGAATTCAGCAGTGAATCCATCAGGACTTGGGTTTTTCTTTGTGGGACTTTCAGATTGCTCCACCTTATTTCCCCCTGTATTTGCCTTTGGTGAGCTGGAAGTCTGGGTTTGCATCTTGTTTAGGTGTCTTCTCATTTCTATTTTTTGTTGTTTTTGATGTAGTTCCTGGCTTGATGCTTGTATATTGCTTCTTGTGAGTATCTGCATTACTAGTATTTAGAACCCTTAGGGAATGACTACTTCTCAGAACTGTCTTCCAGCTATAGCTAATCTTTCAGTTTAAAGTCCAATGAATCTCAGACAATCTCAGTCTTGGTATATCAGGAAGAACTATTGACTAGAACAATCACATCACCTTGGCAAAAGTAATACAATCAGCATCAAATATGGCATTAAACACAGCTTAGAAAATGACAAACCATGGTAAACTGTTCCAACTTTACCCACATGAACTAGACTTCTGGTTATATATCAAAGTCTAGAACCAACCAGAAATATATGTCCAGTAAATCAGCCCGTTTGACATAGCAAATTTATCCTCCAAGAAGAAGACTTAGAAGCAGTTTGGGTGAAATAAAGAAATAGAATGAGAAAGGTTAGAAGAAAGTAAGATCATGTAAACTTTAGGAAACTGGTTAAGACAAGAGGAAAATAGAGAGGAAGGAACAAAAACAAGAACAGAACAAACTAACAGCAACAGGAAAACTAGAAACCATATTCATGCTCCTATAAAAATAATAACAAGAAAGGACAGAAATGAAGAAGATGGAAAGAAAAGAAAAGAATAGAAAAGATACCCATCAAGGTGTGGTTTTGCTATCACTGGTAGACAACTTGGCCTGTGTACAGATCTGAGTCAATTAATCTTAGCCAGTTGTGCTCCACTGAAATTCAGGCTGCTTTCTGGCTATTAGGCTGAAACTGAGCTCACTGACTTCCTGTGGAATTGAACTCTGCATGGTTCCACTGCAGGACTGAGCCACCCTTCCCCTGCTGTGAGTTCAGGCTCCAGTGAGACTGCTCCAGTCCACTGCCTCTTTATTACAGTGACTCTCTTTTCTCTCCTGATGGGCTTCATTCCTCAACAACAAACCTCAGGAAGGCCCTCTTTCTGCTTCTCACCACTATTCCATCTTCATGAACTCAGAACAATAGCCTTTCTGTTTTCCGTACCTGGGTGCCTCTACTATGCAGGCTCTGGATCCCCATGTTGCCTTGGTCCTGCCTGGCTTGTGGGCATAATGCCTGGTCCTGCTCACATCTATGTTCTTTAAAGAAATTGATCTATAGTTTTCTTTTTTACTTAGGTCTTTATCTGGGTTTGGAATCAGCGTGATACTGGCTCCCTAAATTAATTTGGAAGTACTCATCCCTTTCAATTTCTTTGACAAGCTTGAGAAGTATTGGTGATATTACATCCTTAAAGCATTTGTAGAATTCAGCTGAAAATCCGTTGGGCCCTGGGCTTTTTAATTGGGTAGATTGTTTTTCACTGTGTCCTTCATTGCTTGCTATTGGATTGTTAAGCATAGGTATATCTTTTTGGGTAAGTTTTGGTAGTTCACATGTATCGGGCAATCTTCCATTTCTCTAAAATATTGTTATTTATTGGAATATAATTGGAATATAATTTTTTGAAATAGTTACTATCTTTCTGGATGTCCACAGCATGTTATATTTTTAAACTTTTTATTTCTAATTGCATTAATATGAGTGTTTTCTTTCTCTTGGTGAGTCTGGCACAGTGTTTATCTATTTTATTTATTCTTTATGAGAACCAGGTTTATGATTGGTTGACTTTTTTACATTTTTTAGTATCAATTTCATTGATTGCTGCTCTCATCTTTATAATTTCTGTTTGGGGCTGATTTGTTGTTTCTTAAGTAACTTAAGATTTATTTAAGATTATTTATTTGGGCTTGCTCTGTTTTCCTAATGTGAGCATTGATTGTGATGAATTTTCCTTTTGAACTGTTTTCAAAGTGTCACAGAGGTGTCATTGAGTTTTAAAGTCATTCTCATTAATTTCTATACATTGTAAATTTTCTTCTTAGATTTTTTTTCTGTGCCCCATTGGTTTTTTTAGAAGCATGTTGTTGTTTTTCTGGTGATATTTCTTTTTCAAAATTTCTTCTATTGTTTTTTCATTGCACAGTGGTCTCATAGTATATATGGAATAATTTCAATTCTTTTATGTTTACTTAAGCAGATTTGGTGGGCTAGTATGTGGTCTACTTTGGGAAAAAAAGCCATATACTGCTGAAAAGAATCTATACTGTTGTGGAGAGGTGGAATACTCTATTAAGGCGATATATACAAGGATGTCATTCAGTTCTGATATTTCTTTATTGGTTTTTTTTTATCCTTTTACTGGTACATTTTAGGTGTACAATATAATGACATTCATCATTGCAGATATGCACCTTTACATACTTTCTTGGTTCTTATTTTTCCCCATTCCCCTGCCCTCCCTTCAACCCCTCCATCCCTATTTACAAAGATTTTTTTCATTTTCTCATATTAATTCCATTCCTTTCTTTCCTTTCCCATACCCTTCCCACTTCCCCTTTGCCCATTTTCTTCCCATTTCACATTATCTATTATACCATTTAGTCTTTATTTACACTTTCAGTTTCTCACACTACAGAAACTATTTGGTATTTACATGTGTGCCCTATTTATTTCACTTAAGAGTATCGCCTCAATATGCATTTAGCAATAAATGTCTCTAATTTCTCATTTTTGATGGCTGAGTAGTACTCCATTTTATTAAAAAAACCACATTTTCTTGATCCAGTCTCCAGTTGATGGGCATTTGGGCTTTTTCAAGTTTTAGCTATT